TTCAAATCTTAAATATATATATAATAAAAATGTTTAATAGACGTCAAACTTAACATAATTTGCAAATTAAGTAATCAAAAATGTATGCACAGTTTGTAAAATATTTATAAAATCAATATATCYTTTTGAATTTTTTGACTGAATGTTGTAAATAAAATAAAAAATAAGGTACTACATTTTTTGTCTAGGGCCGATAGAAATTTAAAATCTTGGTGGCCCAAAAAATCTCAACCCGACGTTACGCTCATCTATATACTTTAAATACTGATGAAGTTATAATCATAAACACTATACGCACTTCTGAAATTTAATTTTTATGTCCCTAAATACTCAGAAAAATATTCTGMTTTAGAATATGAAATTATAATTGTATGTTATCATTCAGAAAAGTATTATTATAAGGATAAAAAAAAAAAATTAAAATAAATGTTGTGGTGTACGACATGAAACCATATTGTATAAGAAATATTTTTAAAAAATTCAGCATTAATTTGAAATCATGAGTAGTGTGTCATAAAAGAACAAATGGTTTAAAATTATTAAAATGCTACTCTTGTCAAAAATTTATATTTTCTCACTGATKAAGACTAAATTTGATGTTGGCTTATTTAGGAAACTGTGCATTTTATTCTTATACGAATAGTGATTTCTTATACCATTTGAACCAGGATCATGAAAATTGTGACCAATTTTACTGTGACATTTGTGATAAACGCGATAGAAGTGGATTTGTGTCGCTCAATCCGACATCATTCATTAAAGTAAGCATATRATTTATTTATATTACCGATTTAGTTTATATTAAAAGTATATAACTGTGTTATGACCTCAAAGACTTTTAAATATAGCAAGCTTGTCTAATTTATATGGTTTTTTGATGTATATATAAAAAAAAAAAATAGAATGGTAAAAGGTGAATTGTATGTTTACTTTTAACTTTTTAAGTATAATAAATAATAATGATAGGTACCTTTGACAGCATACAAATACGACGGATTACCACGTCGAAACGACAATTGAAAATTCATATAAATGAGTGAATAGATAATTAATACGAACGATATTTACCATAGTTGAATAATATAGTACCTACCTATGGTCAGACTGTCAGAGGTTAAATGATTAGTGCGCGCGACAATATTATATGAAGAAAACCAAAATTGTGTTGAAGACAACAATGAATATATTATGAACGTTTACGTTTGAAAACATGAGATGACCAAGAAACACGTAACATGTTGCTGTAACCACGGAGCCGAACGAGAACGAAAAKAAAAATAAAACAGTCAAAAGGTTTATGAAAAAATCGTTAAGAGGACGCCACACCCGCATGTGTTGTCTTCGTCTTTCAAGTGCGTAACATGGCAAATTGTATGCTCAGCAGTTCCAATTTAGCTCCGTTAGTTTACAACTTAGAGTAAATTGACCTCTTATAAGAATTAAAGGTAACATTATTATCTAGGTTTTCACAGAGGCTTTTTATTATATTTCAATTTTGAAGTGAGTTATGAGTATTTTAAGATATACAAGCAATTTACAGTTTTATAAATACTCATAAGTTGCTTCAAAATTGAAGTATAATAAAAAGCCTCGGTGAAAACCTAGATAATAATGTTACCTTTATTTCTTATAAGAGGTCAATTTACTCTAAGTTGTAAACTAACGGAGCTAAATTGGAACTGCTGAGCATAAAATTTGACATGTTACGCACTTGAAAGACGAAGACAACACATGCGGGTGTGGCGTCCTCTTAATTACACTTGAAGTTTTCAATGAGATTTCAGTAAACTGTTTTGATATACAACAACCAGGGTTATCCAACAGTATAATTGTCGCTTTTCACGGGCAGTTTGAATAGTTTATTAGGCGCCAACAAATTGTATACAGTTGTGTACTTACAGAGCCGGCACCGTTAAGATTTGGCACACAGGGAAAAATTAAAAATATTCACTGTCTTTAAGTTTAAAATATTATAAAAAAAAATTGTTGGAGCCCCTTTAAACCATGYGCCCGGGGTGTATGCCAAGGCCTCCCACGGCACAACTCTGTGTAATTATTGTTACATAAATAAATAAATTAGAACATACCTACATACATGAATATGAGTGTGGAGAATTCATCCATTGATCGAACTCTGACTAACACATTCTAATATAATATTATTTATAAATAGAATWCAGGAACTCTGTAATTTATTATATTTCTGATTTAATCAATAATTGTTTTCATTTTATGTAACATTATATATAATTTATCTTAAAATTATTTAATTTTACTCAAGTTTAATCAATGTTTAAATTTCTATCAACAATCTGAGACAAATGTCGTTTAAATTTTCAAGTATCTCTAAAAAAAGTAAATTATGTATAATAATCAAGGCTAGACATGTTATTGATTTTTTTAACTCGTTAATATGACTAAATTAAATTAATATACAATCCATAAAAGTCATATTAATAAGTATTAAGAATATAATTCGTGGACTAAAATACTATCATGACTATTAATGTCTTTATATGGGCAACTAATTTCCTCCTCCTTATTATTAATGTCGATTAATAATTAATATGATAAATTGTATTTATATATAAATATAAATAAGAAATTGTGATTTAGTGTGGCGTGGTCGTACGCTTAACTGCGGAAATGCTCTCAGTGTACCTACAGTACGTACTTGACCGGTGTTGCTAGCTGCCGGATGTGTGAACGCTTAGGTTTTTAGTAACAAATCCTTGGTGCCCATACATTACGTATTCCAAACCACCCCCTCCCCTTCCATTTACAAACAGTTGTTGGGCTTATGATCAATAAAAAAATAAATAAAAATAATAAATTCTTCATGAATAGTTATAAATTACAAATAAACATTTTTCGTATTATATTCCTTGTATTCAACAAGCTTATAATTATTATAAACGTTAGAAAACAAAAATATTTTTTAGATACTCTACAAATTCAAAATAAACTCAAGTGGGACAGTTAATAAACTATTATTTTAAATAAAGTTAAAGTAAAAATAAATGAGTTATGTTTAAGTTATTAACTAAAACATCGAACTATCGAGTTAAGTTTATAAATTAAAATTAATTCAATATTTTACTAATTAACTCGATGATGCTCAGCACAATTACAATAATAATGTACTGGTTACAATCAATTTAGATAATTATTTCTAATAAATTATGATTTATATTTTTCAGCATTTCAATTTGCACAGTATTAACACATATCAATGTATTTTCTGCTTGTTTGGTGCTGAATTTATCAATCTGATGATTATTCACTTAGCAATGGAGCATTTTGAATATGAACCTTTATGCTTGGAGCGACGTCCGATAAACGATTTTTGTGTTAGTACATTATTAAAAATGTGCAATAAATAACAGTATAAAATAATAATAATTATCGATATGTTTTACGATTCTATATTGCAGGACGGCAAAAAAATTGAAAATCTTAAAATTTTAAATATAAAGAAATGTATACCTGCTGGTATAATCAAAATTGTGAATTCTAAATCACAAATAGATCTTAATACAGAAGTAAATCAAATTAACGAAAAATGTCAAGCAGATCTCATTGACACTTGTACAAATACAAAAATATTCAAGGTTGAAAATACTACCCAGCTCTCAAGAAAAAGTACTAACACAGCTGTTTGCTCATCAAAAAACACACTTAAACCGGCTATTGATAACAAAAAAAATATGGTTATATCTGACGTAACAAAAAAAAACGTTCCACAACGAATTTCCAAAGTTTGGTCTTCAATTGGAAAAAACAAAGAACATTCATCCCAACTCTTAAATTATGATATTACAAACTTAAGGTTTTCATCCGACGAATCAATGGATCAGTGCAAGTTTAATTCTAATAAAAATAGTAGTACGTTTCGTTTTTTATAGAATTCAAAGGCGCAAATAAGGTGAAGCRTGTACGGACTAAATCGCATGAAAGAAGTTCTTATTCTATAAATAAAATACATAATCGTATTAGAGTAATTATTTTATCAATCAACTATAATACATTTTATGTGAATGATTATCTTTCTTCTTTATATTAACCTAATATTTGTTATATTAGGTTAACATTATCGTAAGAGTGATTTAGTGTATGGTTGGRATTTATTTAATAGTTAATATGGAAAAATATAAAATATGTAATTGATATGCAATTATAATTCAAAGTCTTAAATAACTTTTGCAAAGTCACCTTAATGTCATTACCTAATTGGGGAATCCATTTAATAGTTTAGTTATTATAGTAAATATAAATCTATAAAAAATATATCATCTGTTTTCTATCAAAAAATGCTTCAGTTTTAATCCCGATGGCACAACATCGTAATTACGCCTTTGAATTCGACTTGATTAAGTTTAACATTAACTTTTAAAATTGTTTAACTGCATTCATTTCAGATAAAATCATCCCAGTAGGTATTACGTATCAAGATCACTTGAATAATTGCCCTACAGAAACTCCCATAGAGTGTACTTTCTGCTTAGCACAGTCGGAGTCGACATTTGATGTTGTTGAACTTCCAAAACTCATCATTTCGAACTGTTTTACATGCACTTTTTGCAACTTGGATTTACCATCTAGTGTTATTGCCAAGAGCCACGTAAAAGAAGTTCATAATATTTCCAACATCGAGTTCGTGCCTGTAGATATTAATGCGACTGATATTAAGAAAGACCGTTTTCTGGTTTGCGAGGATAAGGTTTTGAAACGACAAAAACGAGCAAACGATAACAAATTTTACTCTAAAGTCCTTAATAATATGAATCTCACCAGTATGAAACGCTCTAAAGTTATTAATACACATGATGATTCTCAATCAACTACAACTGAGATTATTAAGAATACCTTAAAACAGGAGATTAAATGTGAGCCGGATGCATCAGAACAACAACAGAAAACCACAAAAAGAAAACATTCCAACGAGAGCATAAATGTTAGTATATCATTTTTGGAACTAAGAGTTTTTTGGATGAGAAAATGTGTTMTTATCTTCAGCGTTAAAGGTAGTTTCTATATAAATCTATAMATTTTTATATGGCTTAAAATCGGTCAAAATAAGAATTTAAATAGGTTAAATAATGCGGAAAATCAAACAAAAAATAACGGAAACGGCAAAATCTATACAAAAATAAACGATAGAATAAACCATTTATTTTTTTAAATCTTAGATACGAGTTATGATAGCGAATTTTCATCAAAAAATGACATTTTATAGACAAATATAACTTTAAGAATATTTCTTTCCTTTTGCTTAATTTTATTGTTATTTCTAATCAAATTTAACAAGGTTTCTCAAATGTATACAGTTCTGAGCTAGTAGATAAATGTATTAGTTAAAATTATATTTTATTATTTATTATATGTTTGACACCAACCTTAAGATAACTAAAAATACTAAAATGTTTAACTTTGACAAAAATTGAAGCGTACCTACCTACCATCAATTTCCCGTAGTTATTTCAGTACTCGTCTAGTTGCAATCATTAAAAAATTCTGATTGGTGTCAATTTATCCAAGAAGACATTGAAAAGGAATTTCTTTTTT